ACACTCGAAGCCTAGGCTTCCCATTTCCAACCCACCACGACATCCCTTCGAGCCGGACAATGACAGGCTTCACGAAAGAAATGCCAGCCGGCAACAGCTTCCTTTCACAGTCGCTCCTGGGAGATAATATTTCTAGGGTGACAACATTCGGTGCACAGGGACACCCAACCAGCCATTTCTATTCCATTGAGAGTATTGTTCGTTTTCACTATAACCCCTGAAACTTCGGAATACCACAGCTCCAGCAAAACAGTGCTCTTTGCGACAGCCAACTTCGTTGAACTTGCCCGTTTGGGACCTGGAAAGACATCTGACCTTTTCAGACCTTGGCTAGAAATAGGTGTGTGTGTGTGCTGGTTTGAGGGTACCCTGTTTTGGGCTAGATTAAAGGGAAACCAAAACGAAACCCACAATTTTGACATGACATACCAAACTAGACCAATGCAAAAACTCGGCATTGGACTGTGCCAACGTGGCCTCTGGCACACGATTGAACTCCGTGCCTCGCAAGAGAGGCCCAGTTGCAGCGTGGGGATTTCTCCTGGAGGCCGAGTGTGGGCGGAAAAGTGAACGTGTTTGGAGGTACGGTGGATGCTCTAAACAGTGGTAGGGGACAGGGGACGCTCTGTAAATTTCCATTTGTGGTTGGTCCGCTCACTTTAAACTGAACCAAACCAGAAAGAGACAAGGGTTGAGGAATACAGTAAAAGTGTGAGTTTGTTCTCAAAGGTGAAGGATGAAGGTTGCAAGTACTCAGGCGGAGGTAAACATGTTTCAACCAAAAACATGCTGGCCCAAGTACTTCGGAATGTCTCCAATGCCCCAAGCCGGGGTCCGGTTTCCCTTTGGTACCCTTGAAATCCACCCAACCACACACACACACAGCCACCCATCCATCCGTCCACCCACCCAACCACACGCGAACACCAGCCACCCACACACTCACTCATCCATTCACCCAACCAACCACACACACCCACACACCCACCCATCCATCCAGGCATCCACCCACCCAACCACACGCGAACACCAACCACCCACCCGGCCGTACCATGCACCCAACCACACGCGAACACCAACCACCCACCCGGCCGTACCATGCACCCAACCACACGCGAACACCAACCACCCACACACACACACACATCCACTCACCAATCCACCCAACCACACACACACACACCCAACCACCCACCCATCCATGAACCAAACCAACCGTTGGTTTAAACCACACACTTCCACACACCCAACCACGCAAACCCAGCCTTAGATGCCCCAGTTTCCCGAATTCAACGCCGCGTCTCCAGGCGCCAAGGCATTCTGCGCCACCAGCAGCCGTTCCAAGATCTCGAAGAAGGGGCCACCACGCAAGGGATCCACCGCCTCACAGGGCGGTGGTTGCGGCTTTGTCTCAACGGGCAAGGGCCTGAAATGGGTGTCTGAAAAAAGGTAGAAAGATGGCTATATAGCTGGCTAGAGATAGCTAGATGGATAGCAAGAGATAGATGGATAGATAGATGGCTAGAAAAATCATGTTGGTACTTGACTAACCCCCCTTATCCTGGCATCTGTTCCCTTAGCCAAAAATGACTTGTTGGGTCCATCTCCCCTTAAACATCAGCCCGTGACAAATAAGCAATTGAGGTTTACGTTTGAAACCATGCGGGGAACCCTGAATCATGAGCATGAATCCAAGGAAGCCTCCACCAACCAGCAGCCCCTTTGGCGCAACCCCCGGTTTTTTTTCCTCTTTTTTTCTCGGACTCCCAAATATATGCTCCCTTGGTGAATAAACAAAAAACCAGCGGGTAAGATGACCCGTGTCCGACAACAACCGGGCTCCCTTTTCCCCTTACAACATCACCCCCCACCAAGGGACCCTCACCTTTCATGGCCCAAAAAGGTGATGTTTAAAACCACCGAAGCGGGACATTTTGGGACCCCTGAAACACCCTCGCCTCCGCGGCTTTCCGCAAACTGCAGCGCAGCAGCGCGCCCACGGCGCTCAGCCGCTGCAGTAAGGTGCCCAGCCTGGGCTCCAGGCGCGCGGCGCGCGCGGCGGGATTGGGTGACTCAGCTGCTAGCCCTGGGCAAAAGGTCCATCACCTCCAAATAGACAAGCTGGGGTGCAACTCTTTCCGAGAGGTTTGATATGTGATAGGCTTACTTGGAAAGCCGCATAGTTTTGCAAAGGGTCTAAGGGCCTGAGGTCACACCAAAGACCAGCCAAGACCCCATGTTCCTCAGAAGCTGATGCTAACCAGCAAGGGAAGGGAGCCCTAAGGGTACAAGGGCTCGAAAAAAGCCAAAGCAAACCAAGCCCAGTTTCGACTCTTCAGGTGTTTTTTTGTTTTCATCTCTTGCAGGTTCCCATATTTCTCATAAAAAAGTCACCCCTACCAACGGACAGTCACCTACGGGCCAAAAAAGGGTGATGCTTAAAATCAGAACAAACAACACGACGCCTCCTGCTCGATGTTTCTGCCGAGTAACGGCAAAAGCCTCTCCAAGAAGGACACAGTTGGCGGCCGGCAGGACGTCTTGTAGTTCTCCGCCGCCTCCTCAGAAGCAACGTGGGTTTTCCTGAAATAAATTCCATATAAGTCAACCCAGTAATATGGGTGTGTTCCCTCCAAAAGTGGGCTGATTCCCAGGGACACCCCCCCATTAACAAACTGGGGTTGATTAATCTACAATCACCATTCTGGGCATATCTTAAAGCTTTCGGCCCAAAAAACCTGTTGGGTCCCTACAACACCCACCAAAAGGGGGCTGATACATATCTGATATACAAGGCGAATATCAAATACTTATCTTGAACTTGACTTCGCGGAGGCCGCTACTCAAACATGGAGCATGGGAACGGCCCAGTCGTCAACTGGAAAGACCCCTGCGGACACGCGGACACGAAGAGATTGACAGAACCCCACCCCCCCAAAGCCATACCCTAACCAACTGGCAACATTTGACCCGTGTTTCTGGAGACTTGCTATAGGCATCAATCACCATGCTCAATGCCCCGCTGCCATCACCCTATGCGAGTTGCATTCACAGATCTTCCAGTCACAGCAAGCCAACTCTCAGCTGACCAACTAACTGTTCATTGATATACCGCCAGTTGAGGTGACCGAGTTGACTGGCCAATCAAATATCGGACTTCAAGTTTACTTCACATAAAAAGGAACCGGTGTCGAAGACATGCACATGGTTGTGAGAAATGAGCCTCCGTAACTACGCAAGTGAGTTTGCTTATGGGAACGTTGTCCCTTGGCCGCTCAGGCCTCCGTTCCTGGTTTCGACGCACTGAACGTGCCAGTTCATAAGCCAAACAAGCGCTTGGGTCTGTCTCGCTTCATGAGGGCACACCTGAAATGGCCGGGTTTTTCTGTTTCCGTTCAAAGCACAGAACACACAACATCTTTGGACCCTGGACAAGATTGTCAGAAGAGATTCCAGATCGAGGATGCTACTTCCGAACAAGAAACACACCCGCATGGGTTCGCAAGCAAGACACATGTCGTCTCCTTTTGTTCCCCCAAAATCAACCGCAAGGGAAAACACACACGCAACGCGATTCATGGCGGGGTGCAGAGTGCAACCCATATGGGTGGCTCGTAGTTTTGTTTGAGGGTGCCCCTGGTTTAGTGGTTTCAAAAGGGAAACCAAAACAAAAACGTAACACTCACGACAAATGCACCAAATGTCCACCTGGGGTTGAGACCACTCACACATCAAACAAGCCAACCTATGGAAAACGCTGCGGGTTGGGCAGACCTGAGTTTAACCTAATCTTTGAACAGTCAACAAATCTCCTTTCAAAGGGGAGTGTTTCAACACTAAAAGCCAAAAAGGAAACTCGCATGATATTATCTGATGTTAACAATAACCCCAGGTGTTTACAACCCACGAAAAGGGGAAATATAGGCAACCCTGCGGATGACCTTTGACCATACCGTAGATGGACAAGATCCGCTTCGCGCGTGGGAAGACTACTGGCGCACCCTGCCCGCCTCCCACCAGCCCGCGAAACGAACCGAAATTCCGCGCCGAACTTCCGGGCGCCTCGAGGCTCTCACACGGCACCGCGCTGCGCGCGGAGGCCAAAAGCTCCTCAGAGGGCGCGTTCAAGGCCTGGCGGCGGTCAATCGGGAGCGGTGAAAAAATGGCCCATCCATGCTCAATCAATGGTGGATCAATGTGTGTTTGGTCATTTTTGGTTTTGTATTCCATTTCCGCCCGGAGTCTGCAAAAACCAAATTCCATATGGGTAAAGCAATGGTCGGGTCTTTAGCAGCCAGCAAATGGGACCCAAGTATCAAGTCCAGAAACACGCCAAGTCAGAAGCTCGTGGGTTTCCCTTTAGTGCCAATGAACATTTCCGAAAATGGGGGCCACCACAAACCAAAAACCAGGAGGGCATCCTGTTTCATCTCCCAAAACGTTTCCAACATTGGGTAGCACCAAACAACTGCTTCCTGTTGGGTTCCCCCTTAAAAAAAAAAAAAAGCGCGCCACCAGCGGTGGCAAAAATTGCTAGAATCGCTGCGCAGACTGAAAAATGGACAGGCACAAAGGGCTCAGGAGAATGGCCTGGCTTGAGTGGAAATTTTGAGGGCGTCTCCACATCCGCCCTAAACCAGCAGCCTTGTAAAGCAAGGACGCATGACCCCCTCCTGTGACCCTTAGAAGAACCAAACGGCCACGTGGGTCATTGTCATCAAGCAACTTGCGCCTATTTGTGACATTCATTCTCTGCAAAATAATTACTACTCACTAAATATACATATACTGCCCCGGCTTTAAAAAAGACAACATGCCCCTCCCCTCCAGTACATGTGCCACCCTGAAAAAACAAGGGACCCCTATAAAAAGGAACCTTCGCCCTCACATCGCAACCCTCCTAGTCATGTCACTATAATTTGCCCGGTCGCGCCTTTTTGTGTGGGTACCGCCTTTTGTGTAAAACCAAAAAAGAACGCCGAAACCATCTTGGGAAGTTCCTCAAAAACAGACACACCCAAATGCAACCCAAACACGAGAATTGAGCGGGAAGGCGCCTCACAGACCTGCTGCACCGCGTTCTCCAAGCGTTGTGCGAATAGCGTCACCACCCGCCTTGAATTGTCGGGGATTTCAAAACTGGCTGCTCATTTGGGCCTAAAACGTGATCCGCGCAACAGCTAAACTGTTTGTTTGCCTCTGTTTTGGGGGGACACCATGGACACCCAAAGTTGATCCCAAGCTGGCGCTTGGAGTAGAAACAACAAGGGGGTAGAGTTCCCCCAAAAAAGGATCGACCCCCATCTGCGAAAATCAAAAAAATGGAGTGCCCTAAATGAAGAGTCCAACCCCCTTTTACTTGAACAAGTGGTTTGGAGTTCCCTAGAACGACAATCGACCCCCTCCCCAAAACGACCTTCCAAGTGTACCCCTAAGTTGAGTTCCAAAACGGAGTTCCCCGAAATCTCACTTTGTTTCTTTACCACTAAATTTTGGCTTTCCCAAGCAGTTTAAAGTCCAGGAATACAGAAGTGTCTACTGCTCGTGCTTAGTAGGGGGGATTCCCTTAACGGAAACCACGAGCTGGAGGGGTTTTTCCTGTCCACTCCATTTCTCATTCCGTGCATCCCTCGCACCGATCACAAGTTCTTCGTTGACGTTGGAAGGGGAGAAAAAAAATAAACTGTAGCAGTTAAGTAGGGATTTCCCACTAAACCACCATAAGCCAAAATGTCAAAATCGAACAATCACCATGAATCTACCGCCGCCGCCGGCGCCAGCGGCGCCGGCGGACCTCTCGCCGAGGCGCTCCTCGTGCGCCACGAGGCGCCGGGCCAGCGACACTGCGCTGCAGGCCACCAGCCGTGCCAGCGCGGAGCGCTGGGCCTCGAAGAGGTCCTTACGACTGTCGCGGAAGTCGCTGAGAGTTGCCGGGAGCTGCAAAATATATTTTTTCTATGTCAGGTCGTGGCAAAGGCGGAAAAGGTCTTGGAAAAGGTGGAGCTAAAAGATTTAGAAAAGGTTCAGTTTTTTCGGACCAAACAGGTGCCATGGTTTCCCTAAATGGTGATGCAAAACTTTGAAGAATGCAAGGCCGTGCGGGTTCTCTTGAATAATTTAGGGTCCAGCATTTGGGTGTCTGTCAAAAGAGGCCCTCAAGCGGGCTTTCTGGTTGGCTAAAAGGGGTAGCCTCAAGAAAGACACCGCCATTCCTTACAGGCCCCTGAAAAGAAACTTGTGATAAAAACCCAAAACAATGGTCTTGAAAGTGGCGCTGTTTGAACCGTGCTTAAAAGAGGGGAGTACCGGCCCTGGACTGCTCGGCAGTGTCTGGATCCCGGAAGCATCTCAGCCTTGAACTCGTCATTGACCTCTTACTTTCTTGGGAGGACCCTTTTGCATTTTTCGAGCCTTTTTTGCGACCGCTTTCAGAAGGCAAAGTTCCGGAAGATGGAGAATGTTGCCCCGTTCTTCGTGTGGAACGCGCACCATGATAGGGTCACAAGGAAGGCAGAAGCACCTGGAATGCCAAAGGTGTTTCATACAGACTGGCTGAAACTTCCCAGAATCTATTTTTTGTTTATCCCATGAACTGTTTCGCGAGGACTCCTACAGCCGCCGAGCCCCAAACTGATTGTAGTTTCCTTGCCGACTTCCCTTTGATGCATACGCAAACATCTTACCAAACCGAAACAAAGCTGCAGGTCATGCGCTGGCGCGCACAGCTCAGCAAGTGCGAGCAGGCCGGGGGAACAGGACGTGGAACCACTTTTGGAAGCCTTGCGGGGTGGGCCGGAGGGCTTCCTCCATTGGCTCCACCTGGCCCAGAACGTACTGAAGGAACGTGTAGCTGGGAAGGTCCACATGACCAGCGCCCGTACTCACAGCATCTCTCTCCAAGCTTGCGAAGGTGGCCATCTTGGCACCCCTGGCATGGTGCAAGCCAGCTTGCCTCTCGGAGCTTCGTCTCGCTGTTGGACACCTCGTCCGACACCACGCAGCGGCTGAAGCTGACTATGGCATTACGATGGCCTTTGATGGTGCCATCTGTGCAAACACAACCTCCATTGCGAATGGGGCCAGGCAAGCCCTCCACATTCAGCAGGTCCACAGTGACATACTTAAGGAGGGGGCAAGACCGGACAAAAGAGTTCAACAAACCTCTTGAAACCAAGCAACGCTCCACCAATCCTGGGAGTTTGGGCTTGCTTTTCACACATGCCTTAGTTTCCATGTCGCGCTTTAATCACAAAGGGGACCGTTTTCACCGACGCCTCATTGCTCATCACATCACCCCCCTGGTATGGTTGAACAACAGTAAATCAATGTAGACCGGGCAAACCAGGGGAACCTAAGAGAAAGGTTCCAACGGTTTCGAATTGTTGAACCTTTCGGTTGAACCGGGCAACAGGTTGGTTCAAGAGTGGATTGAACCATGAGTTGGAGCCCACCCGAATTCTCCATGCCTTTGCACAAATAAGGAGTCATGACCCAGTTCTTGAAGTCGGCCATTTTTTAAGGGTCATGGAGGCATGCAGGTTTTTTTTTGGTTTCCCCGTAAAAATAACAAACAAAGCAACCCCAAAAAGGAATGTCGGGGGGAGAAGAAAGACTACACCCATTTCAGGCTTCTCTGCCGAGGTTTACTTGATCACATTGAGCCAGTGCCGGAGGTTACAACGGGTGCATGGGGCACCTTTAAAGAGAAAGATGTGTGATACAAGGGCCAACTGCAACAGGTGCATGGGGTACCTTAAACCAATTGCTTAATCCGTGCCAAGAGAAAGATGTGTCATGAATATGAAGATGGTACACTCCCTCAGACTAACAGCCGGAAGCTCTCCCAATTGGACTCTGTTAATGGAACCAAGTCTTCCGTTTCGGGGTCCCCAAAGCTTCCATGTTAGTCTGGGGGAGTGTAAATGATTCTAGGTCCTCCAGCAGAGAGGTTAGAATAAGGGTACCCTTTTCTTCTGTAGTCTATTTTAGTAGGGGAACCCTCCCCAAAAAAAGGGGAGAGACGGGCACTACTGGGGGTCCTAGGATTAGTATCGTGGTAGCCCCCTAAACTAATGATTTGGCCGTCAGACTGGCACCCCCAGCTTGTCCGCCACCCCTCCCGTCTCCTCTGGCGCCGGCAGCCCTCCTGTGACACCTGGCAAGGTGCCCCCCAAGACTCACCAAAGGAACTCGGGATATTAATCTAAGGGTTGATTCCTTTATCATTCCTTCCAACCATCGCTCTTTTCCAAAACCGGCCGTTTCCCTGGGTTTCCGGAGGTTTTCTAGAAAGATTCGGATCCCTGGAAAGAATGGGGAAGGTAGCACTAGAATTAAGCACATGGATTGAAAGAAACAAACTAAACTCCCTTGCCCAGTTTGGACCCAGAAATCAAAGGTGATTATTTGTTTGGGACCTCGACTAAAATTGGGCCAAAAAGAGGGGAACCACCAAACGTTAGTAAAAATAGCATCCCAGGTTTGTTGCTTAGCACTCATGAGTATGATCTGCAAAAATTGCAAAGTGACCTTCCTTGAGGTTTCCCTTCAGGCATCATAGTTAAACACGAGCTAGCTATTCTTCGCACCCCAAGAGGGTCCGAGAGCCAAACAGAACCCGCTAGTTTGTGCTGGTCTAGTGTATCGGTGCCTTTTAGCTGGAGCAAGTTGAGACTTCCACGAATTCACTTCTACTTTTAGGTGCGTCACAGTTGTTTTGTTCGGGTAACCCTGCCATGGAAGTAGGTTTCTGATAACCGGTTGCTCCGAACCACGCTTCGTACTGCGTAAGTGGGATACATAATGAAATCGGGTTTGGCCGCGAGGCGTATCTGACTTGTGTTGGAATAAGGTGACTTGTCTTGACTGCGTGCTGATTGGAAGGGTCTGGAACACATCCAAAATCATCCGTCCCTGGATTGATACTTAAGGGAACATTCGTTGTGATGGACTCTTCGGTACCCGCTTGGGATGATCTTGACTAAATCACAGCCGGCACATTGAAGTGACATCAATCTGGCTGGCTATCCCAGAATGCATGTGGTCACTAAACGTCCTGTGCATATTTCCGAACATTCTCCATAGGCTTGCTCAGATTTGAATACAACAACTCTCACATGTGGGCACTAAGTGTATGTTACCAGGGCAGAAGTCTTTGAACAGGAGTCTGCGGGTAACATCTTTATGGCAGCCCTTTCTAGCACGCAATCCTCTTACTCTCACTGAGGAGGTTCGGCCCTTTTCTTCGCCCCGCAGGCCAAAAGGAACTTTTGTCGGAATATGTCCAAAGAACAACTTGCTTTTGGGAGCCCGAGGCCCCTCGTACTTGTCCATTGAATCATCTGCTATACCAAAGTGGTTGATTCCTATCGTGAATACTTTATTGCTAAGAGGATCCCTGGGCCACTCACGGCAAGTGGGATTCCGACTGCCCCACAAGTTTTGAAACCTAACTCACACCCTGGCAGCCATGAGACCATCCCTCCCCCCAGTGATGGTAAGGAAAGAATTGGAACCCTGCCGCTTTGGGTTCAATCCAATTTTGCTGGTGTTGGAGCCCACCAAACAAAAAGCAAAGTTTCTGCACAACTGATCCAACACGTCTATAGCCTCAACAAATCACACACCCAAACAACACATTCTCCAAGTGGCCTTCAATGAGTCCATTTGCCGATAGCCTCACTTCTAAAAGTGGATTCCCCCCCCCCCCAAAAAAAAAAACTTTGTTTTGCGACTAAGGTACAAGCCCCCAAAGTGGCTAAAGGCCATGAGCTGGTGTGTGTGTGTGTGGATGTCAAAACACCCTTCTGAACTGGTCGGCCTACTTCTTATTCCATTTCAGCCCCCCAAGAAGACTCACACACACACACAAGGGTACCCTCATAGTCATAGGTGCCCCTATCCCGGTTTTTGCCTGGTTTTCCTTAAATGTCTTCCACCCCCAAACCCGGGGGGGGTAGCCTCCAAAATCTTTGAGCCACGCCTGTGGCCTCTGCGAGGTATTGCAGGGCATCGAGGTGCCGCTCCTGTCGTCTCCAAACCGGGTGTGTCGGGTTTTGAGGCTACCTGAAGTCTCCTAATCTGACCCTTCAAACCTGGGGTCGTAAAAATGAGTACTGACCCCATGTTTGAATGGTTAAAGGACCGGTATATGACCATAAGTGTTCTTTTGGTAAAATAGATGGCTCTGGGCAAATGGAATCAAATCCATCTAAACCAGTGCCATTTATTTCTAATCAATCTAGCCTAAAAAGGACACCTATGGTCATGACCCCTTGTTTTTGGAGTACTGACCCCATGTTCGAAAGGTCAGAAGGAGACTCCAGGCACCCTCGCTCACAAGAAAACCAACGATTTTGAGGGGTGCCCTAGAGACGACCCTAGATTTGAGAGTTCTGGTTGGATGGGTTGAAGGCAAAACAGGAAACAAGCCATTTGGGGTCCATCTTGAGAACAAACACCAACAACAAAACTCCTTCCCTGTTTGGTGAGTTTTGGGGGAAATGATCATGATGGGTTACTTTATTTAGCACTCAGATTGTGGGGGTGAAAACCTTTTAGTGGGTGTCCTTAGCCACCTGCAAGACAGGGTAAGACTTGTTCAACGGTACAAACACCTCCATGGGTGTCAGAGATAAATGCCGAGAAGAACGGTTGCGGCCTTTTTCCATGCAGGGCACCATCTGCGAACAATGGCTACAACTTGCGTAAGCCAATTACATCCCACCCTAAACCCGCAAACGTTGGACACCTGCAGCATTTTAATGAACCCCACCATAAACCCCCCCAAAACCTCCTGGCTTCAACTAAACCTCTAGAGCACTCCTGAACCATGCATTGGTCACGGTGCTCTTGATGGACAACGCTTGACTGAACCCATTCTCTCAAATGCCAAATGGGCTGACGACCACCAGAAGGTCCGTTCGAGGGAGGCCGCAAGTCGGCCACAAGGGGTCGAAGTCTGTTCACTCCAAACCAGCTGCTGGCAGAGCAAAGACCCTTGATTGGTCTGGCAAAATCACGCCCTTCGCCAGATTTGGCCCTGCCCCAGATTTGGCCCTCCCAACCCGCCCAGCCCGTCCATCTCGCCCACCCCGCCCATCCCCACCTCGCCATCCCAGGGAATTTTCAGGTACCCCAAAAAAACGCCGAGAAGCTTGGCCGGGAAACCCAAAAACGAAGAGCCAAAATACGAGGCTTGCAAGCGGAGACCTACTGGGGTACCTGACAACATTTGAATGGGAGGTCGGGTTGTTCCATGCAAACCTCATACCCCCTTTACCCCAACTAGTGCAAGTATACCCTTAGCCCCAAGCCTCCCAACCTCAAACCCTCCAAACTTCTCTCCAACCCAAGTCCACCTTACCCCCAAAAAGAAACAACAACCCCCCAAACAGCCCAAACACCCGAACCCCCACCCCCCCCACCCCCCCAACCCCCCCACCCACTCCTCCGCCTCCTGCTGCGCCCGCGGGGCGCGCCGGAAGGTGGTCTCCAAGGCCGAGACCGCCGCCACCGGCTCCTCCAGGAACTCCACCTGTTGGGATCCCATTTTCCGGTGGTGAAATCGATTCCCTTCAAAACCAATAGGGGAAATACAGACATATTCATTTGGCTGTGGTGGTCAAAACCGTTTTGGGATCCCATTTTGGGGGAGGTGAATTCACCACGCATTTTAGAACCTAGTTTAGTCTATTTTAGTGGGGTATTGGGATGTTCACTCAAAAAAAAATGACCACCTGTCACTAGCCATCTGAAGGGCTGGGAGGTTGTGGGGGGTTGGGCGGGCTAGCGGGAGGTTCGGGGATGTTTACAACCCATCTATCACTTCCATTTGCTTAAGCTCCCTGGAAAACATGAGAGAATATATGTCCAGTAGTGACACATTCCCTTTAAAACCAAGGGATAACTAAACATTTGCAATTCAGCGAATGGAAGTCTTCAAACAAGACCCTGGAGCATCCACCACCTTGGACCTTTTGTTGTTTAAATCCACACAAGAGGAGACTAGGACCGGGTTAGTATGAACATCTGGGCCACGCTTGATGGGGGGCCACTTTGTGGGGGACGCCTTGTGCGGTTTTGTGAGGCCTGAGCAAATTACGGTTCGCCGATTGGAACTAAGGCAAGACCCCAATAACATACCCTGTATGGGAGTCCTCGTTTTTCCACCGGAGTCCATCACCCGTCATATATGTGTTACAAGCAATGTGGTGAAGAGGGAAGGTTGGGGAGATACTCACACCAGGCTTGGTTTTTGAGTCATACACCGGGAGCAACGAACACGTCTTTCAGGAAAGTGAATGGCACCTGCGACTGCATGAAGCTGCCTTCTTTACCAGCCCCAAAGGTTGATGCCGCAAACAAACTCCTGCACGTACCAACTGGTGCCGGGGATTTTGTCCATCCACAGCACCCTTCACTTTGCGCTCCCATTGGAAGCACACATCTTCAACCTAAAGGTTCAAGATCCATGTTGAAGCTTTACAACTCATGTATAGCGACCATTTGTTTGCTTCCCCTGGACAAAAAACTGAAATATGTCCGGTCGAGAAATCGATTCCCTTCAAAACCAATGAGGAATGACAACATATTCATTTCAGCGCCACGATCAAAGCGGCCGATCGCCGCTCCCCCTGCCTCCAGCTCCAGCTCTCCGGCGAAGCGTTCGCTAGTGCTGCCGCCCGTGCCCCCATCCGCGGCCGCGGCCGCGGCCGCGGCCGCGTGGGATCCAGGGGTCTCGCGCAGGGCGGCAATGGACGGGGCCAGCGCCACGGTCATGGAGACCTGTTGGGCAACCACCTGCCCATTTAAGTGAGCTTCCCTTAGGTGGTTGGAAATGTGGGAATGTGTTAGCAGATGGATTCGGACAGCCCAACATTGTGGTTTCCTATTGGCTTCCCTTTCTACTAAGCCAGCTACAGGTCCCAGGCTATGTACCCATACCCTAAGCATGGGATTTCCACGTTCCCGTTGGCTTCCGTTGAAACCGAGGAAAGGACAGGTCCTGAGCCTCGCAAGGGGAAAAAACGGGGCCGCATCTTTCCGCCTGCCCAAAGGACCGCCGAAACGTGACAACCAAAAGGGTTGGCTTTGAACCCTTCGAAGCACCAACCAACCACACCACTCTAAACACCCCCCCTTGAGAAAAATACAACCCCCGAACCGGTCAGGTGGGCACAAGATATGCCGACCACAGACTGCCTCACGCCTGTTCGCAAGTGTTCAATGCTTTGTGGTACACCGGACAAGCTTTACAAACGCTGCATATAGCCTTATACTGACCAACCGATTTCAGCGATGCGAACAAGATCAAGGGAAGAAGATCGCCCGAGTCTGATGCTCAAGGGGAAAGCAAGCTCTGCAGGCTCCATGGCAGAGATAGATAGTGTTTGTGAAACATGATTGCCATCATCCCTCGTTGCATTTTGTTCAAAGAGGAAGTTCTCTCTGAGGACGTGCTCATTGTACCAGTACCGGGGATGATGACTGACACAAGTATGTTGTCTGTTGAAAAATGCTCCTCAAGCAACTAGGCCGACTATCGAAGTGGAGGGTACAGCAACCCAACACTGCAGAATTGACTGAAGCCTGCTAGCCGTGCCAGTGACCCAGCCTGTCTTCGTAGCACAAAAGCTAAAGCTAGGCCACCCACCGACTCATCCCACTCATCCTTTCACTTGCACTCTACTTACCACCCAGCGACCCAGTCGCTAATTTGTTGTACTTGTTTCGGCACGATGCACACAACCCCCACCCCCCAGCCCCCCAATTTGCCTTTTGTTTTTGCCCCCTTTCCGTGGCCCGGAGGTTCTGGGGGCTCCCCAATTCTAATCCTGCAACCTGCAGTGCAACACGACTCCAAGGGAAGCCAGCACTATGCCATAAGGATCTTGATAAAACGTTCACAGGCTGGCATGATGATCATATTGTCATATTGTCATAACGTTCACCGCGGGATGTTCATATTGTCATATTTCGTGAGCCCCAAAATATGGCATGCGCAACCCAGGATCTTCATACTCTCATATTTCGTCCGCCCGGAAATATAGCGGTCCAAACACATAGCCTAAACTCATTTACTCTTAGAAATATATGTCATCTTCTCATATGTCCTCCCCCCGTCTTCTTTTTTGTATGAAACCCTATAGGCTTGCCCTAGTTTGCTTTTTTAGACGTCGACGTCGACCAGTTTTTACACGTGTGACCGACTCGCCTTGGGCTTGGTGTCCAGCATCAGCCCCTGCTCCGTGAAGGCTTGACGGAAGGCCTCCGTGAGGTCTAAGGAGCCCATGGCAACCTCGCTGGAGCGCCAAATCCCGAGGGTTGGGCGGGGGAAGGGGGGTGCTCATTGCCCAAAAGGGGGCCACCCGCAAAAAACGGTGGACGAGGGCGGCTAGAAGAACTTGGGCACACCGTCAATCGATCTGGCGCAACTCTTTGGCACCAGTCAACCAAGAAAACATCATCTAACCAAACCCTAGGCCATAAGCGCCAAAGCAAAAACAAAAAGCGGCGAGACGAACGTTCAAAGGCCGCGCGGGTGTGTTCTTTTTCTTCCGCCGAAAGGCCAAGTTGTCCGGGTAGTAGAGGAAGAGGTCATCGAAGACTGAGAGCTCCAGCACCTCCTCGTTTCGGCAAAAGATCGGGAAACGATAAACCCGTGGGTAGCTGAAACGTCTTAAAGCTGTGGTCCGTTGGGTATGGGTTATAACGATACCCTGAAAATGGGACCTAGTTAATGTTCAGCACCCACTTGGGTCTGCTTGGGTATGGATCAAAGTTCAACACCAGGAATTGGACCGCAGGAAGTTTGGCCCATGTTTCCACTCAGGGCTCCCTGGGTATGAGTCAAAAAGATGCACCAAAACGACACCCTGACAAGGGGACCAAAAAAGAAAACCTGTGCCCTGGCTCGTGAATTTTCAGCCACACCCATTTGGGTATGGGTTAAAACTAAACCAGGGATTGGACCCCAGGCAGTTTGGTCCAGGTTTTTGCTTAGGGCAACCCATTTAGGGTTACCCTATTTTGGACCCACAGCCATTTGCTATCTCGCATCAGTTGCCTTATGCGCCCGCTTGTGCTTACCCTACGCAACGCATGTTTTTGCTTACGCGACCGATGTGGAGGTGGTGTTCCACCTTACGCTCATGGAGGTGTTGCTCAGTCCCTTGAATGGACCCCCAATTCCACACAAAAATCGGGTTGAGATGTTCAGCCAAGTTGAAACTTGGAGCGCTTCCCGTTTTTGTATGTGCACATGTTTGCACAGTTCCTTCAGGGCGCGCATATGGACAGGTACTTGGAGGCTCGCGGGGTCCACTGGCCTGGTGTTCAACTCATTTTTGCAAGAAAATCAAGCCCATACGGGGGCATAAAAACCCATCTAAGCCAGTGGAACCCATCTATAACTCCAACCAAGCGGATCAACCCAGGACCATGAGTGCTTCTGGGCATTCCTTCTGACCACGTTGCAGTGGTCAGGGTTTCTGGCACGGTCTCCCCGGAAGGTTTAACCTATAATCAACGCCTACTGTGGACGGACGAAATCCTGCACCACCTAAGAAACCATGGAATGATGATTCCTCTGTAAATACCAACAAACAGTCATTTCATCATGGTTAGGTGCAGGGTTTTGTCCATCCACAGTATGATCCAGCCTGCTGGTGGTACCAAAAGGTGAACTGCACGTTGCAGTAGCTGACCTGCAGACCGTTCTCCACCTTCAAGCGGTAGCCGTACTGCGTATCGCTGCTGCGACGCTCCTGGTGTGCAAGACCTAGCCCGGATGGACATACCAGCCAAAATCAGCTGTTATATTACAAGCGAGCTGGGTCTTAAATAGAGGGTCTGAAATCTTGTTTGACATCCCTTTTAGGATACCTATTGAGTGTTTTGCACTCACATAGGCTGTTTCACACCCAGGAGATCGCATTCCAAACCCATCCGAAGTATGACTTGTGGGTGGTGTGTCTTCATGTCGCTGAAGGATAGGACCGTAAGGAAGCGACCGGCAGTCTTGAAAGGTGGACCTCAACTCGCTTCTCTCCGCGCCACAGGCAAAGGGACCGCCCAGTTTCTGGACGACAAAGGGGACTTGGGCAAGAAGGCAACATCTTGAGATCGCCCAGCACTTTGCAAAAGTTTCGAAGTGAGTCTTCCAACCCTGCATTCCGCTTTCCCGGCTGCAAGAACGCTTCCAGCACAAGGGGGGAACATAGGGCACAGGACGACTTACTATTGTCCGGCAGTTCGTGGTCCCATAATTAGGCCGTCTTGGGAATTCGTGGTAATTCAGCTCCTCAAACTAAAGTGGGCTTGTGTCGCCTTTGTTGCTAAACGGCACAACGTGGGAGGAAGTTGTCAGAAGCGGCCTCTCCGCCTTCGCTTGTTGGCTTTTTGTTAAGTTTAGCCCCAGATGTCGTGCATCTTGTCATTTTTACGCACATGTTTTATTGCAAGCAATTGTATTTCACTTGATAATGGAATGTCCTTTTCCCTAACTTTGCCATCAGCCTCGCGTACTATGCTATTATATGCGTGATCTGGCGAAGAACTCAACAACGCCATATCAATTTTGATTGTATTCTCCTTTTTCTATTGCGGCTGCCTTTGCCGTTTTTTTTTGCTGCTCTACTTCTTCTGCTAGACCTCTTGCTATTTCTTCTGACGCATTTAATTCTTTGTTGAGCTGATGAGTTTCGTCTTGTAGACCTCTTGCTTCTTCCATCTCGTCTTCGAAGCTCTCTTCCATAGCTTTAACAGCTCCTGATACGCCCTGATTCTCTTCTGAAATTCCTGTTGACTCTTTCGTAAACTTCTATATATTATTCTGGTTGATTAAAACAAATAAACATGTATATATCAAATAACTATTTTGCAAGTTCTTCTATGTTAATGCTCTATACATATATCCTCAGACAAGTTGCATTATACTGAAGAAATGGTATAATGTCCATAGTAGGCTTGTAAGAACATACAACCTAGACGTAATTATTATTGAACAGCCCTAATGCAATTGTAAAAATGAATAACCAAGTCTTCAAAAAAACAAAAATGTTTAACAAAGCAATCATTATTTTGTCAACTCATATATTTCAAATTATTGACAACTTGTAACTTTTCTTTGTTTTGCTTGAGACACTGAGAATGTTGTATCGCAGAGAATAACATATTAAACACATCTTTGACTAACATATCTAAATCTTGACCTTGTCGAGGGTGTTCGAGCCGCTCAAATTCACCAATGACGCTGGAGATTCGAATGGATGTTCCGCAACCCAAGCTTTTGCGTGGATAAGCCCGAGCAAAAAGGGAACTTGAGTAGAATGGGTTGAGCAGGATTAAGGTGGTACAATAAAGGGACAAAAGGAACACCACCATTTGGGTCCCCTCAAAAAAAGACATAAGTGGGTGCCACTGAACTGCTGGGCGTCCTCCAAAGATGGTGCCGCCCGGTACTTGTCCAGCTTCCCCCGCATTAAGTCGCCGCAATCAA